AATTGCCAAAATCCACTGGCTCAAAGAGAAAGCAAGGGAATTAAAAAAAAAAATCGAATTCTGTTTCATTGCCAATGCTAGTGCCTTTGTGTGGATCACGACAAACTGGAAAAATCTTCAAAAGATGGGAATACCAGACCACCTTACCTGCCTCCTGAGAAATCTGTATGCAGGTCAACAGTTAGACCTAAAAAAGCAACAGTTAGAACTAAAAATGGAACAAAGGGCTTGTTCAAAATTGGGAAAGGAGTATGACAAGGGTGTATATTGTCATCCTGCTTATTTAACTTATATGCAGAGTACAATGTGAAATGCTGGGTGAATAACAAGCTGGAATCACTTGGATTGATCAGCTGGACTGCCAAGAGAAATATCAACAACCTCAGATATGGAGATAATACTAACCTAACGGCAGAAAGGGAAGAGGAACTATAGAGTCTCTTGATAAAGGTGAAAGAAGACAGTGAAAAAACTGGCTTAAAACTCAATATTCAAAAGCTAAGATCATGGTATTCGGTCCCATCACTTCATGGCAAATAGATGGGAAAACAGTGGAAACAGTAAGATTTTATTTTCTTGGGCTCCAAAATCACAGTGGATGATAAAATCAAAAGATGCCTGCTCCTTGGAAGAAAAGCTATGACAAAACTAGAGAGTATATTAAAAGGCAGAGACATCACTTAGCCAATAAAGGTTTGTACAGTCAAAGCTACGGTTTTTCCAGTAGTTATCTACAGATGTGAGAGTTGGATCCTAAGGAAGACAGAGGGTCGAAGAATTGATGCTTTTGAATTGTGGTGTTGGAGAAGACTCTTGAGAGTCCCTTGAACAGCAAGGAGATCAAACTAGTCAGTACTAAAGGAAATGAACCCTGAAGATTCGTTGTAAGGACTGATGCTGAAGCTGAGGCTCTAACACTTTGGCCACCTGATGAGAAGAGCCAACTCACTGGAAAATACCCAGATGCTGGGAAAGCCTGACAGCAAGAGGAGAAGGGGGTGACAAAGGATGAGAAGGTTGGATGTTATCAGTGACCCAATGGACATGAGTTTGAGCAAACTCTGGGAGATGGTGAAGGACAGGGAAGGCTGGTGTGCTGGAGTCCATGGGGTCACAAAGAGTCAGACATGACTTATCAACCAAACAACAACATGTAGATATATCCTCTCCATTGTTACCAGTTGGTTTTCTAAAGTGCACTTCATTCTTTTCCTTGCTCAAAGTGTTTATTAGGTACACAAGCATTATCAAAATATAAAGGCCTTGAAAAGACTTCAAGATCTGGCCTCAAGCTTTCTAGTCTCATCTCTTCACTGATTAACTTCAATTTCTTGCACTCTCCAGGCAACTATTCAACTTCATGTCTTTGTGTCCTTAACTACCTCATCCTTTATCTCTCTAAAGGCTAGAGAATATTTTCCCAGCTCTAGCTAATGACTCCTTCTCTAATCCTCAGTCACTCCTTAATACACAGGTCAGTATTATCTCCTTGAGGATGCCCTCCAGCAGTTTCCAGTGACAATTATTTTCTCTGTCCCTAAACAATTTCTCAGCTACAAGAGGAAATAAACTATTTAATAAACTATTTCACACCCTTTCTCTGGTACTCAATTTAATTATAAAATATATGCAATAAATAGGTCCTACTTTGCAGGGTTTGTGAACATTAAATGAGAATATCTGTAAGTCACTTAACACATCAACAGAGGAAGAAACGAAGATAAACTTACTCAGGTTGATCAAGCAAAGGATGGTAGCTGGGCATGATTCTGACCCTGTTTGGTTTAGTCTAAAGCTCATGTTCTTTCTACCGCACATGTCTCTCTATGTCTCAGCAGATGACACATAAAATTTACTTATTTAATACTCTCCCCCATTGGACTGTAAAGTACTTGAATACAACGAGCACGTTTTACATGACTTTGTATATCCAGACACTCATTCATTTAAGTGCTAACTCTGACACTGTGATGTAGAGATAAAAGACCTAGTCTCTACTTTTAAGAACTCTGCCTATAGAAGGGATAATTATAAGCAATATCTTACTGTTATTTTCTACACAAAAGGGACAGTGGTGGCATATACACGGGCTGGACTACAGACGTCCAAATAAACCTAAAGGGAGAAGAAGAAAACTTAAGGTACAGGGAAGACTTCTTTGGAAGAGATGAAACTAGACATGACTCTTGAAGAACTTTAAGTTAGGGAGAACTAGGGTTTCTGGAATTTTCAAGGTATTAATTCATAAATGATATAATTATTATACTGCTTATGCGCTGATCAGTCTAAATTATTATTGCTGATAAACATTTAATGGCCTTGAAATGCATTTTAAAACATGGATTCATTGGGGACTTCCCTGGTGGCTCAGAATCTGCCTGCTAATGCAGAAGACACAGGTTCTCAATCCCTGATCTGAGAATATCCCACATGCTGCAGAACAACTATAAAAGTCCATGCCACAACTACTGAACCTGAGCTTTAGAGCCCAGGAGATGCAACTACTGAAGCCTGTGCACCTAGACCTCGTGCCCTGCAATAGAGAAGTTACTGCAATGAGAAGCTCGCACATCTTAACTAGAGGGTAGCCCTCACTTGCAGCAACAAAAACCCAGCACAGGCAAAAATAAATAAATAAATTATGGGGGGGGGGAGAATGCAATGGAAGGAGGATATTAAAAACTGAATGGTTCTTTCTAAAAAGAAAAATGGATTCATTAAAATACGGTAGTTCAGATATAAGTCATAATCACTGGTTGTTGTTCAGTTGCTAAGCCATGTCTCTGAGCTGCAGCAGGCCAGGCTTCCCTGTCCTTCACTGTCTCTCAGAGTTTGCTCAGATTCATGTCCATTGAATCAGTGGTGCTATCTAAGCATCTCATTATCACTAGGCTACCTTCCCTGGTGGCTCAGACGGTAAAGTGTCTGTCTACAATGTGGTAGACCCGGGTTCGATCCCAAGGTCGGGAAGATCCCCCGGAGAAGGAAATGGCAGCCCACTCCAGTACTCTTGCCTGGAAAAGCCCATGGACGGAGGAGCCTGGTGGGCTATGGTCCATGGGGTCACAAAGAGTTAGAAACCACTGAGCGACTCCACCACCACCTTGCAAATATACTAAGTTTAGATACAAACTCAGAAAGAAACCTCACTGTGTAACTCTTCCAACTACAAAGTACTTTTCCTAAAATGCTGAAATCTTAACCACACAGGAACAGAGCAGGAATGAAAACATTAACTACCTGGCACTTATTTCTATTTTCCACCCACATCTGATTGGCATATTCTATTTGAGGACATCAAACCACTAAGACATATTTGATTTTCAGTTATGTTCTTTTCATTAACAACAGCATGAAGACTTTTGACATGCTTGACTTTCTTCGCCTGTAAACATCTATTCAGAAGTTTTGAAATGAGACAATGCTTTTAAGTTGATTTTTCAAATGCACCCTGGCACATAGCAAATGCTAATAAATGAGAGCTATTATTGTTACTCTGAATAAACCAGTATGGCCAGATGGTTCAAATACTGTTAATCTTAAATGGTATATGTCTTGCTTCTAAACAGAACATAAGACAAAAAGATGACCAAAAAAAAAAAGGAATCTATCTCTGCCTGTACTATAAGTAAAATAATCCAATTTCAGCCTCAAGGAGGGTATATGCAAGAAGAGTAACAGTCTTGTTACTCTTTTAGGATTGCAAAATGAATCACATTTTCTAAGTTAAATAATGGCTCACTCAGGACACAAGTCTAACCACTTGTGTCCTTTCATGTGATAGCTCGAAAAAGGAGCTGGAGAGGATCTTCGGCCAAGGAAGGAATAACCTTCCAATAAAATGTCATCTCCTCTATACACTGTAAACTTCTTCAGGGAAGAGACTGTGCCTTATGTCCCAGCTATAACTAAAGTAGCTGGCATAACGCAAACAATTAATGAGTTTTCGATTAAACGTCTAAGGGTTTTGTGCTGTGTGGGATTCTGCAAAAACTTTTGGGAACACAAGCTCAGTAACTTTTCACTGGAGAAAAGCATTTGCCATGGCTGCTTTTGATACTATAATAAAAGGCATGAATCTTTTCCTCATAAATGCAACATGTGGCACATAGACCTCATAAATTCATGGTGAGGGCCTGGTGTAGAGGCTGTCAGCATTTACCGCGACAAAGCTGAAATGCCTGCAGACATAGCTTGGGAGATCTTTACTATCACTACTGATTATTTCATCTGTCCTCTGTCCATGTTGGTTTTACGTATTCTTCTCAGCTTGGAGAAGGAAACATTTCTCTTGTGAACTTCTGTGGCTTATTTCAAGCTTCTCTAAAAGGCCCAAACTATTAAAGGAATCTGCAATAAGACAAAATAACACAGGAAACCTTAATAATGTATGGAAGGGGAGGAAGGCCCGAGGCCAGACACCACTCCAAGCACAGTAAGCTTCTAGAAAAGCCACCTCCACAGATAATTCCAATCATTAAAACACAGATTATAAAGTAGCATCTTTAGAGTTGAGAGAATGGAGCTGGAGAGACCTAAAAGGCCAATTAATTCAACAGGTGAAAATTAAGGTGGGGCGTCTGGGGTTTGTTTGACAACAATGAAACACCTGGCATAGGTCCGCACAGAGATAACAAACCGCAAAACAAGCGCGCAAACCCGGCAGCTCTAAAGCCTGGAAATGACCACAAAGAGTAAGTAACGACGGGTTAAGCCAAACTAGCGCATTTCTTTGAAACAAGTCATTAAAGTAGCCTCTGTGTGTGAGGAGGGGCTCTGGGGCCCTGAGGTTCTTTCTTGGGTTGTCGGCTCTGGCTGTCCCAGTTTGGACGTGCAGGGGCCACAAGGCTCCCGGGCCCATGTCTCCCTCTGAGTCCCGGGAGAGTCAAGTTAGTGACAGGGTTCCCCGGCCGGGGCCTGCCGCCCAACCCTCCAACCCTAGTACGGGCCCGCAGCCCCTGCACAAAGCTCACTCGCGACCCCAAAGCCCCGGTTCTTACCATAGTGAGGCCGGCGAAGCCCCAGCCACATCACCCTTCCGGGCCCAGGGCGGAAGAGGCGTGCACGGCCGGCTTGCCTTTCTCTCCCCTTCCCGCGGTCTGGTTGGGCCTGTCAGGGTACCTCCTCCTGAGGCACCGGTCTCGGGCTCTACGATAGGCTCCTCTCTACCGGAAAGGACGGGACTTAAATGACGTCATTCAGCCCCCGCGGAAGTAGGTGACACTTTCATTGGCTGCTTTATGTCCGCCTGTCGGAGCGGGCCTTTTGGAGGAGGCCGGAAGTGGAATTACTGACAGGTAGGGTCCGGAAGTGGCGACTGACTCTTTAATAGTCGGTGGTCCAGTTATTATTATTATTATTGTTTTTCTTTACTTCTCTAGAACTCCTCAGCGCTCACATTTTTCCCGGCTTGGACTCCCCTCGATGTGTAAGCTTCTGGCCCTTCTGTTTGTAAACTCTCGGAAACACCTGAGTTCTCTGGCGTTACCCGCAGGTCGTGCATCTTCTGGGCTCCCTTTTCAGTTTCTGCCTTTGCATCTGTGCGATTCTTTGTGTAAAGCGCCCTTGAAATGCCCTGTAAAGCTGTGGGATTAGGACACTTGAATTCAGAGGGTTGTGTTGAGAAGGTGTTTGATCATTTTTCTAACATTGGCATTCTCTCTTCTAATTACCAACGTTTTGTAGATTGTCAGTGGGTTCGATCTGAGGCTGAAAGGTGCCCGTTGGAGTCAGGAAAGAACTTTCTGTGGGAACAAATGAGAAAGGAGCTGCCTTTCCTGAGTTCAGTAAATGATTAGATGCTTTAGAGAAATGGTCCACCTGCAAGACATATACCATCTTTTTCTTTTAATCAGTATTATTATTTAGCTTTCTCTAATATTAACAGTCCCATTAGATAAGATTCTAGTCCCACTCCCCAGATTCTTTTTAGAATGTTATCAGTTTTTTAATACTTTGACTGAAAGTGGATTGAGAGAAACAGGAAAGGAAGCTCATATAATGCATTGATTTATGTGCTGTTCTTGGCCAAACTATGAGACCCTTCTATATTTAGGGCAACACAGTGATTAGAATATTTGGGTTTCTACTATCTGTGATTGTATTGTTGGCTACTGCCCACCAAGTTTTTTTCTTTTCTTTTTTTTTAAACCATTACTAACTTTTTGTTTGAATCTACTGAATTGTCAATAATTGATTAAGTACATAAATTTAGCAAGTACTTAACTGAGCTTTTATCCATACCATCATGAGACTGCTGCAGAGGGATAAAGATGGCCTGTTCCTTCCAGAAATTTAATGGGCATAGGGAAGAGGGGAATAAGAAATGTATAAAAATATACTGTATCCTTTTTCTATTAAAAAACAAGCTGTAATGCTTTGTCTTGTGATTGCTTTACAATATATTTTTTAAGTCTTGCTATTCAAATTAAATAATCTTGGCTTGGTTATGGAAATTATGTTGTGCAAGCCATCAAGTTTGGTTTTCAAAGTAGTAAATGTGTCTGCAGACATCTTGCTGTCATGTAGATTGTCTTCATTTACATGGACTCTTGAGGATTATATGTAATAGCTGAAGTGCACTGGGAAATTGAAGTTGTTAAAAATCACAGTTGATTTACTGTATTTATGAATTTTAATAATTTTATACCATGGGCTTTTACATACTTCAGCTTCAGAATAGGGAAGAACAATGCCAGTTATTTTAAAGTTACCTATAGGAAAAAAAATAAATAAAGTTACCCATAGAGGAAGCCAAATAGCAATAGATAAGACTGAACATACATTTATATATAAAGTTTTTCATGTAACACAACAAAGTTAATCTGACATGATCTCTTGGCAAGATCCCTAAGGAGGTGGTAATTGAGATATATGGTCATTAAGCATATAAACTCCCTGCTCTTGGCTTCATTGCCAGTAAACTAATTTAAGCAGTGTCTTACATTGCTATTTCAAAAGTCTCTTTTCTGGCAACTCTGGTATGGAATCTTATTTCAGACTATCTTTGATCATTGTCTTACTCACTAAAAGTGAAATCTGATTCTTATAATGTCCTTCTTCAAAAATTATTGTCTTCTGCATCTAGAAGAGTATTTTCAACTTTGATTTCTTAGGTTCAGTAGAATTATATGTAAAAATAGTACATACTTATGTTTTTCTGTGCAAAGAATGCATGGACCTCCCTAGTATTGTCAGGTATTTGACCTGCACTGAGCCCTCAGTGGGCTTCCCTGGTGGCTCAGAGGTTAAAGCTTCTGCCTGCAATGCGGGAGACCTGGGTTCGATCCCTGGGTTGCAAAGATTCCCTGGAGAAGGAAATCCCCAGTATTCTTGCCTGGAGAATCCCATGGACGGAGGAGCCTGGTGGGCTACAATCCATGGGGTCACAAAGAGTCGGACACGACTGAATGACTTCACTTTCACTTTCAAGCACTCCATGGAGAAGGCAATGGCACCCCACTCCAGTACTTTTGCTGGAAAATCCCATGGACAGAGGAGCCTGGTGGGCTGCAGTCCATGGGGTTGCGAAGAGTCGGACAGGACTGAGTGACTTCACTTCCACTTTCCACTTTCATGAATTGGAGAAGGAAATGGCAACCCACTCCAGTGTTCTTGCCTGGAGAATCCCAGGGACGGAGGAGCCTCATAGGCTGCCATCTATGGGGTCGCCCAGAGTCGGACACGACTGAAGCGACTTAGCAGCAGCAAGCACTCAATGGGCTTTCCTGGTAGCTTAACTGGTAAAGAATCTGCCTGCATTGTAGGAGACCCTGGTTTGATTCCTGGGTCAGGAAGATTCCCTGGAGAAGGGGTAGGCCACCCTCTCCAGTATTAGGCTTCCCTGGTGGCTGAGCTGGTAAAGAATCTGCCTGCAGTGTGGGAGACCTGGGTTTGATCCCTGGGTTGGGAAGATCCCGTGGAGATGGGAACAGCTCCCACTACTCCAGTATTCTGGCCTGGAGAATTCCAAGGACTCTATAGTCTATGGGGTGGCAGAGAGCTGGACAAGACTAAGCAACTTTCACTTTCAAGCACTCTATAAGGCTTGCTTGTTGTGTGCCTGGCTTTCTTTGTTCACTAAAATAAAAACCTTTTAAAGGGAAGGATAATGAAGGAGGGCCAGTTGACTTGAATGTTAGGCACTCAGTGAACAGTTTTTTAAATTAAAAGTTTAAAAAATTGAATTGGTACTGCTTTTAGTACCAGACCACTTTCTCTCTTCTCTTTTGATTTGTCTCTAGTATTGATGGTGTTGATCATTTCCTTTTATCTGACTTCTTGTTTCTCATTCAATGATATTCACATATCATAAAAAAAAATAATAGTTTTACTTAATTTGTTGTTTTCTTTGATCCTCAACTAATCTCCATAGTCAGAGGTTGAAGTTCTTTGTTATCTAGTGTTCATCATTGTCCTGTTTTTTCTCCTTTTTAAAAAATTCTCTTTCCCCATGACTCTTAGATTAAGACCCACAAAACTTTTGATTGACCTGCTTGTTATTTTTTTCATCTTAATAAGTGCTTCTTTTAATCTTTCTCTGATTCCAACGCCATTTATTTGTTCTTCTGAGCAAGAATCCCTTCAAGAGTTTTCTGTGCTCCAAGTTCCAATTTCTCTTTTACTCTTCTTTCTTGAGATCCCTTCACCACAGTGCCTATGATTCCCCCAAACAGTCTTATTAGTGTCAGTCAGTCTGAAACTGAATTTTCATTTCTGTTTATCATGCTGTTTCTTTTTTTTTTTCATTTATTTTTATTAGTTGGAGGCTAATTACTTTACAATATTGTAGTGGGTTTTGTCATACATTGACATGAATCAGCCATGGTTTTACATGTTTTCCCCATCCTGATCCCCCCTCCCACCTCCCTCTCTACCCGCTCCCTCTGGGTCTTCCCAGTGCACCAGGCCTGAGCACTTGTCTCATGCATCCAACCTGGGCTGGTGATCTGTTTCACCCTAGATAACATACGTGTTTCGATGCTGTTCTCTCGAAACATCCCACCCTTGCCTTCTCCCACAGAGTCCAAAAGTCTCTTCTGTACATCTGTGTCTCTTTTCTGTTTTGCATATAGGGTTTTCATTACCATCTTTCTAAATCCCATATATATGTGTTAGTATGCTGTAATGTTCTTTATCTTTCTGGCTTACTTCACTCTGTATAATGGGCTCCAGTTTCATCCATCTCATTAGAACTGATTCAAATGAATTCTTTTTAATGGCTGAGTAATATTCCATGGTGTATATGTACCACAGCTTCCTCATCCATTCATCTGCTGATGGGCATCTAGGTTGCTTCCATGTTCTGGCTATTATAAACAGTGCTGTGATTATTATGCTATTTCTTGCCTCCAAGCCTTTGCTCATGCAGCTTCTTCTCCTGAAATGTGTTTTCTTATCTTTTTTCCTTCCACTCCTAAATCTTTGCCACCTTCTAAATTATATATCAGATATAACTCAAGGAAGCTTATTCTGAAATTTCAGACTCGTTAACATGCTACTTTTCAGAGGAGCTCCTCTCTTGCCTCTGTACTTTACAAGCTTGCATAATAATCCTCTTTGGGTGTTTCTGTCTCCTCCCCAGAGAGCTGGGAATATGTCTTACTCATCTTTGAGATGTTTAAAACCTGGTACAAAGGATGTAGTCAGTGAATATTTTAATGCATTAATGGCATGACCAAATTAACTCAGCTAGGAGTTTTGATTTCACTCTGAGTTTTATGAGGTATAAGTCAGTGCTTTATTTGCAATAGCTCATTTTCAAGGAAGAAGGTGACTATCTTCAAGACAGTTGTTCTTATAATAGTAGGAGGTTTTTAGTTAATGCATTTTATCGCTCTGGGCAATATGCTCCTTGTCTTTTGTGAAGCTGCCAGTACTGATAAGAAAGTTAATTGTGACTTTTTCTAAAACACAGGCTGAAATTAATGAACAGAGGGTTGTTATAGTCAGCAAATTTTTAATATTGATGAAATTGGGCTCTTTATAGAAGAAAAACACCATTAAGATTTTTGTTGCCCAAAAGAAAAAACCATGTTAGAATTCCAAATGGTTGATGAGGCATTCATACTTTTGCTAGATACCAGTATTGCCGATAC